AGTGATTATACAGCGAGTAATGTTGGTATGGGTTTATGTATGATTTTCTATAGTGTTAATCAGTTTCCCAGATTGGAGTAGGTGGAGTAAACATGCACACATGATCCAATCATCTGTGGTTGGATGGTATGGTCAATGAGAACCAACGACTGGGGTTATCCAACATGTTGCCATTGAGGTGCACCCTAGATGAAATATATTATAATAAATGAAGAGAATAATTAAAATTAGGCTCAAACTTGCTGAGTTCACCCACTGTTTGAAAGGAATAATGATCACTGTTTTCAGTCACATCACATAAAGCTTGGGAGGAAGCATTCCGGATACCGGCAGCGCATCTACTTCTGATTGATTACTTATATTCCAATTGATAATAGTGAGTAACAGTCTATCATAGATATGGAAGATGAAGTGAAATCGCAACAGGCAGATCATTTGAGCGAAGAGTGGAGTGTGTGAAAGAAGCAGACCAGTAAATATGACAAACGAAATTAAGACGAATCGAATCATACCTGGATGTTCCACTGTTGTTGGTCGTTGGATGTGCCATAAAATATGCTTTGATACTGGCTTTAAAACTCATTAATCACCATTATTGAGCAGCAAGGAAATTGACTGAAAGATATCCAGTTTCGTAAAATTACATCTTCAGTTGATAACACTATGCTGATAACTAAATCCGAACAGGAGTTGAAACCATATGTAGATCCTTTAGTTGAAAGCTTACCAACTCCAGGAAACTATGATATTGCTTAGTTTTTAGTTAGTGTTATTAATACAGTGAGGAGGATAAGTGGAATTAATATCACACTGTATTATATACATTCATCAGTATAATGTGGAGAATCCTGCAGTGGAGTTCACGTCAAAAAATTATAGTGATATGCTATAGTACTCGTTCTTCTATGGTTCAGAACTAATATCGTTATGTTCGTCTGCAGAGATTCATGCTAAAGTGGAATTCGAATATGATTCTTGAAGATAACTTTGAGTTCCTTCAACAATAATTTCTCCTAGTTTTCACAATTTATCCGGTGAAAACCTGGGTGATTTTGATGATTATATTCTCATAGAAGAACTAACATCTTATTGATAATAAAAGCTATAGTTCCTTATGTCTATTATGATTACTACTCTTCAAGTAGTCGATATCAAAATTGTCAGTGAAGGTAATATCAATTTTTACCACAATGTTACTAATTTTCTCATGTAAGTCACATTTGATATAAACTTGATCCTCGTTATGTTCATCATTGTTCTTGATCGATGAAAGGAATCAAGATTTTTTCATTCTGTACCGACGAGTTAATCTGGAAAAGAAGTGACCAACTTCAGATATGCTGAAAAAGTGTACATCAATATCAACTGATTGATCATTATGAGAAATATATATTTATAGTCAAACGAAAATTTGGTTAGGATTATAAATTTGTCTTGATAACCTTCTGACACCGGAGGAGCAGATATTCAGAGGAATTTTGATGCTAAACTGGCATTAAAAACTCTGATCATAGACTTCATGTGTTTTTCAATGAATTGCGCAACTGTTAGCCACCTACTTATAAGTTATTTGTGGTATGATCTTCCAGTCAACTAGAAGTCGTTTAAAGCGATAGGTACTGAGTTCAAGTCTCTGTGGGGACAACATCACCCACTGACATGGAGGTACATCCAGGTGACGAGTCCCAGACAGGATGAAATGCGAGTCCTGGATTCCACGGTTAACCACTACGAAGTCACTTATCTCAAAACTACTGTTATTACGGTTAGAGAGTAGTATTGATTAATAGTCAAAAAAATCAGTGAAACCCCATGCAATTATTAGCTTAGAGATATTACCATCACAACGATTTATACTTCTCCGCCATTCTTATTACGTCATCATTCAAGATTCAAGTTAGTCTGAAAAAGTTAATCAATGAGTTAAGCTGGTACGGTACTCTTTCTCTATAATTGACGATTATATACCATCTAGAAGGAAATAAAAAAACGGAAGAAAACTGAGCATATTCATAGAGACAAATGAAATAAATACTAAGCACATTTATCCATTCATTATCATCCTTATGAGCATATACAAGTTGTGTGTATACGTATAGGAGGTATGCTTATAAAGGAATTCATCAATTGAATAATTCTTCGCGTCATTGGCTTCAAATTATTTTTTTGCTTCAATCATACTCTGTTAACAGGATAGAAATCCGATATCAACGAGAAAACAACAATAAAACGATTAGGAAAAGCTCTGAATTGAAAGGAAAGCCTCTTCTTATGGTTCACAAAATGGAATCAAGTTTCATGTGTATTTTTCTTTTAATAATGCAAAAGAAATTAGGTGAAATAATATAGTATGATAAATTTTTCTCTCAAGTTAGTATGTTTTATCTTTTGTTATTGTTATGAATGATTGATTATATAAAAATTGGTATATCAAAAGAAAAATAGGAAAGAAATGTGACCTTAGTTATTGGGTTCATTGATGGCTATTTAACGTTGAATAATGTTGTCAGTAACGTTTAGACATCAGAAGCTAACGCCTAACGGATGTCAATCCTGTTAAAGCGACATTTCCAGTACTGAGTTTGTGTGCTTTACCAATGAGATTAAAATTTTTATCTGTTAATTACTGATAAATATTCATTTCACCTTCAATCATTACCCAGTATCAATAATCCAAGTCTGCGAAACTACGGCTATCTTATACAGTCGGACTGATAATCAGTATGATGGGCCTCTTTACTAATTTAAGTAGATTCGGATCAGAATCTGAGCGAAACCCTTGGTGCTTGAAGTAAAAATAAGATACAGTTAGCAGACATATGTCGTAGGTCAGCAGCGGGTTGGTAGCCTTGAGGTTGTTGGTTCGAATCCTGCCGCTGTCTAAATCTTCATCTCATTTCCAATCACCATTATTTATACACGTCTTCCAAACCATGGCTATCTCAGGTAGTCGAACTGACGATGAAAATTTACTCACTGTATACATCAAGTTCAAAAATACAAATAAAATTACCGATTATTCGATTTCATGAGGATGTGAAATAAGCAACTAGCTAAGAAACAGAATTATATTGACTATCCAGTTACCGTGATCAACTAAGTGGGTGTGGTGCATCCCAATTTACCATTGGGAGCTTAAAACAACAAATGTCCCTAGGGTTCCTAGTGGAACATGGGGATTCAATAGCACACCTACATTCTACTCTCTTCTCTTCACTATCGAGTGAGCATAGGCGTCAGCTGTTGATGAATGTCTGTAGTTTGTTGGAAGTGCTTTACGTGACGCACCAAGTTTCTCAACCATCACATAGAATCACTGACTTACTTGACTTGACTGAATTAGTGTTGAAAATCCGATGTTGTTCACGCTTTATGCTGAGTGCAGTGCAGTGCAGTAGATCTCCACACTGATTATTTCAGATTGATGCAGGAAGGTCTGTTTTGTTGTCTTTCTGATCCTGGCTCATTTGGCTTCTTCATCTGTGCTGCCACCTGTAGTTGAAAGGATGCTGCCTTCAGGTTTCCCCCGTTGATGGTTATTGGTGTTGATGCTGTTGTTGGTTGGATATCTTCATCACTTCTGTCTGTTCTACATTCAGTTGAAGTCCCGTTTTCGCTATCTCTTCTGTTAATTTGTTGGTTTTCGCCTGTAGATCCTCAAGTTTGTGCGATATGAGACACAAATCATCATCGGTGAAATCCAAATCTTCTAAGGTCTTTTCATCGCTCTTCTGAAACAGCGTATGCCCATCTCACAGTTGTCTGCTGCATGATCCAATCTACCACAAGTAGGAAGATCATCGGTGATAGTAGGAATTAACCTTGTCTTACTCCTATATCCGCTTCAAAGGCGTCACTTAGGCTTCCATTATGAATCACTTGGTATTTGGCATCTTCATATAGCTGTTGAATGAGATTGATAAAGGTTTGTAGCACTAAAACCGTTGTGTTAAAGGAGCTGCCTGCCAAATTACTTCTCGGTCGACGCTGTCGAAGGCCTTTTCACAGTAGAAGTTGAGGTAAAGATTTAGTTGACTGCCATCTAAACTGTGTCCTGTGATGATGCGTAGTGTAGCGTTGCAATTTGATCCCCACATGTTTTGTTTTGCCTAAAGTCAGCCAGCCAGCCTGTTACAACCGTAATTTTGAATGCAAGGCATTGTTTAGTCTCTTTAGGATGAGGCGCTTAATATTTTGCCTGCTTTGGGTGGACAGAAGCATGATTCCGCGCCAGTTCTTGCAGACTTAGGTCGCCCTTCTTTTGGAGTTTGACAAGTTTTCCGTTCTTCCAATCAACCAGCAGTTGGCTTTCCTTCCTTACTTCGAAACCTTCTGCAGTAGTGGTGTGAGCATGTCCGCTGGTGTCTGTATTCCTGTTTTCAGTGCTTCTGGCGGAATTTCATGTGGTCCTGCTGCTTTCCCGGATTTCAGAAACTTTATGGCGTTCAGGACTTCACTTTTGCTTTTGTCGGAAGGCTTGGGTTCACTGGTAGTTCTGCGGTTGCGGTTGAATCCTATTTATTTTTTGTCAATGAATTTAAGCATTCGAAATACCCTGACAACTAGGTTTTTCTGTAGATCGTTTGTCTGGACTGGCTTCAAAGATCACCTCAGCAACTGCAAAAAAACGACCAATCAGCTTTCGGTATTCTGAGTATTTTAGCCGTTGTTGGGATGGCCTTTACTTGATTGCTCACGAGTGACTTTAAAGGTCGCCCAACCAACTGAGGCAGCCAATCACATTCCTTTATTTTATGGAAAAGTAAATTCCTAGGCGAATTACCGAAACCTGACTGGTCTATCCAACAGTTACTAGGGTTACCTTTAAAGTCACTCATACATTTAAAATTGCATACATATGCCTTTTTTTAGCATTTAAGACCTATATACGATCATGATTTCGAAGTCGCCTTTAAACTCGGGTGAAAAAGTATGGACAACTCATTAATGGTTAATAAACTAGCGCTAAGAAAGGGCTACTCATTAGCAAAAGTCACATATATGCTTAAAAGTGTCATTTTCCCCAGTTATAAAACTTCATAACACAAATTATTGAAAGAAATATTGAAGAGCTGAATAACAGCAACAATAAAAAAAATGTTTATAAATGTGAAATAAGAGATACAAGAAGTTGTAAATTTCAAGATATTATTCGATCTCATTTAAAAGCATCTGATTTCAGTTGCTGTCCTGCGCCTCCAAATGGTTTGAAAACAGGTTCGTCAGTTTTCTGAAAGATGATAAATTAAATTTAGAACACACTAAATAAATAAGTCGACACAAAAGTCAGTTATTTAACTGATAAAAGTTATTGTATATTAATGACTTAGTAAATTGGATTCATAACGAAAAAAGCTCCCCCTCCCCTCACGAACACACAAGTCTTGTATTAGCTTGAAATGAATGAAAGTCCAGTGTTCACAAGGCGTAGATAAGAGTTTTAGGATGATTTTTATAGTGCGACTTATACACATGGTGTATACAACTAGTAAATTCATCATAGCACTTTTCGATATTATCTGTCATAATTAGGCAGACGATATAAGAATGATAAATAATTTCATAATTGCACCTTTAATTGACACCAGTTATCAAGTTGACGTGGAGTAAGGTATTCACAATTACTTACAATGTGAAATTAGACTAATATGTGTAAAACTTCAGCACTATGGTAGGATATAACTCTACACAGGACTTGTTTATTTGATATATAGCTCACAGCCATCCATGCAGATCAACCTAGAACCAGGCATTACTGCATAATGGTCCGAGTTGACACACTTCATATCACTACATCAAGTAAAAAGGCAGTGAAATGCAAGATGAAGATAAGAGAATCCAGTCAAAAGAAATATAAAAGACGAAAAGACAGAAAGGAAGAACGAGAAAATGGTGAGATTCGGTATATTGTCTTTAAGATGAGAATAACGTGTGTATACATCTGCGCCACTCACATAGATTCTCAGCCACATCGCCTACAGTCTCTAACCATTGGTTCCTATTGTCCTGCAGACCCCAACCACCTAGTCTGCATCGCCCCATATGGATCAAACCAACAGTCAGATACTTCATACATTGATGCCATGTTTTAGTCTGGCTACATCGGGCCTTTCTCCAGCCTAAACCTACTTTAACCAACATTGTGTGACGAGGCAATCGGTGACTAGGCATACGTAATACGTGTCCCAACCAGCTATCCCAGTCGATGAAGGTTCATAACCTCGTCAACTGATTTACCTCTACTCCCTAAAACTCTATACCTGACGTCTGTGTTACTCATGTAGTGACACCACGAATACGGCCTATGCTACGAAGGCAACAGTGGTCAAACACCTGAGGCCTTCTCATGTCTTCCACCTTCAATGACCATGTTTCATAGCCATAGAGTAGAACAGAGCGGAGTTCTGTGGAGTACACGCGACCCTTCAATAGACATTCCCATATCATGGCGGCACCACAGGTGGTGTAAGTTGGCGAAAGCCAATCGAGTCTTTTGTACCCGTGCAGAGATTTCACCGACCATGAGGCATCAGGGCTGATCCTACTTCCCATGTAAGTGAAGTGGTCAACATACTCAACCATTACACTCTCTGCTGTTAGCCGTGGCACCGTTGAAGACTAATCCTGGAGCAGCAATTGGCATCTGGGTGGTGAGAAACGCATCCCAAACATTCTCAAATTGCTACTCAAAGTGTTCAGAAGACTCTGTATCTTGTCAGAGTCTTCACCTAACAGACAATGTCATCTGCATATTCTAGGTCTAACGAAAATTCCCACCGATTAGGTCAATGTCTGTGTAATCAGGCGACGAGAGGGAAACCTCCATACAGTATTATTTACTTGATGATGACGTTTCCAGCATAAATGACTACAGATAATCATATCAATATGATAACACTACTTTCGACATCTGATTTTATAGTTCTGTCACCCATCTCATATTCTTTGTTTCCATTGGCAGTAGAAATTTCCATATTCTGGTATAGGTGTTGCATCATCTCGACTACACGTGTGGGGTGTTGGTTGATTCGATGAACTATGATTCAGTGATCAATTTTTCTCTCTCTCCTCTCTCCACCTAATTATATTGGACAGCGATTTTATCCCACACACCCAACTGTGTGGTTGTGTGTTAATGCATGCATTCGAATAGCAGAGTATTTTTTCCATATTATTGATTTGATTGAGGTCTGCCATTCTATATTTACTTAAATCCGCTAATCTGACTGACCCCCTGATTGGTTAGTTTCACCTATGTACTTGACCTTGCAGTCATTGCATGGAATCTGATGGATTAGATTGTTTCGCTTAATTGGTGAGCTAACAGAAGTTGGAAATATGGAGCATTGGATTCTGATCCAGGGCTAGCACAATGGTAACGCGCTGGCTGCTGGACCTGAAGGTCGCGGGTTCGACCTCTGCAGAGGTCGTGGGTGTGCACTTTGAGGAGTCCCATACTGGGACGAAACAGCTGTCCAGTGCTCCCAGGTTTTTTGTTCCTCCAACTGATATCAGTCTACGATGAACAACAACTTGAAATTAATTGGTTCTGTCGAATCCTTAAGCCAGCCGACAAAGCTTATCTCTGAGTAAGTTTGTATATAGGTTTAAACGCAACCCTAATTCCAGACTTGTTGAGAATCCTAGGCACAATTTCTGATATTCCTTCCGTATATAGTAAAAAAAAGAGGCCTGAACCTTATTTCTACTCGTTTTGTCACTAGTATTCATGTTCATTTGCACTGTTTACGAATACTAAACAATCCGAATCGTTTCAGCTTATTAGTTATATATGTTTATTATACATCACAAATGGAAACAATTTGAAGTACTGAATATGTCAGTTGTAATGCATAAAGGTAGGTACATTAGGGAATTCATACAAACACATGCTCCTATATAAAGATCATAATTTACACTGTTGAAGAGTTGATAAAGACCAAGTGTTTTGTACATTAAAGTTAGCTTGGAATCATTTTTAGGTGACATGTTGTATCTCAAGGATGGATGCAACCAAGCCAGTTGGCCAAGTTCAAGAAGAAGGTATAATCCAATTTGTAAACACTTCATATTCGATTTAAAATAAACCATTTGAACAATCTAGTGGATGTACCTCTCCACTTGACCGTAATACTACTGCCACGAACCGACTAAACTGAACTACCTTTGTAAGCAACGTTTATCTAGTAAGCAATAAGCCATACTTATTATCATATGAGGGTTAATGATAATAGTTAACTGCTTAAATCTCGGTAGATGGAGCAGGATTTAAAATCGTGACCCACTAGTTGAAGGTTAAGTGTCTAATTCAATGGAGCGAACGCTCGACACTACTCCTTTTGTATCTAATACACGAAAATCATATTCAAGATTTTTTCAAGTAAAAATCAAAAAATTAACAAGAACTCCCATTTTCTATGCTATTACATTAGACGAGAGCAGAAGTAAATAACAATAGGAGGATGCTAAACATCGACAATAATGAATGCCGAGTTCGATGGCTTAATCGTGGAACTTCCATTCGCATTCTAGACAACATCATCAAACAAACTTCAGAAAAAGTGAGCTATAAGCTTCTATCCACAATCTATTTAAAGCTCGTCCTAATGGCCTTGCATGTGATTGGTTGTTTCTGTCTAGGTCTGGTCAGTGTCTCCATATTTATTTGATTGGTTGTTCTCATCACCTGGAATTTGATCTTCTTGTTGTTTCGTATTGGTTGATAGATTGGGTCATGTCAGTGTAGTGTCTGTTGATTGTTGACTGACATGAATGTCAAGCTTTTAAAAGTTCTCTGGCATTCTTTGTATTTCCTTTATCCATGATTTTCACATTTTTCTGATCAAATTCATGTCCACAGTTGTTCGTATGCATTGATATGAGCGAAGAAGATAACTTGTCCAAGCAGTCTCTGACCAAATCCGAGGAACTTCTTCAGAAAAAAATTAAATTACAATATGGGAGACGCTTCAGAAGCAGAATTCTTCGCATTCGCAGAGTCATCACTGAACACTTCAGGACTAAACTCTCAGACCCAACAGGAAATACGACAAGTAATCGTACCTCTGACCAGGTGGAAATTAAACTTCACTCAACTAACCAGCGAAGAACAGAAACCTTTAAGAAACTGAAGACTAAAAAGAACGTCGTTATAATTCCAGCTGATAAAGGAAGCACCACAATAGTCATGATAAGACGACTACATCAAAAAGGCAGAAATTCACCCATGGACCGAAATTTATACCAACAAAATGAGACAAATCCCACAAAAACCAAATTACCAGGATCTTGAACAAACTCGTCAAAGAGGGACAAACTAAAAACAAGCACAATGAAGCATGAAATCCAATGGATCTATTCTTTCACGTGTCCATGGTAGGCTAAAATACACAAACCAAACATCTACTACGATCAATTGTTTCACTTCCAGAAATCCCAAACCATAATCTCTCAAAAAAGTCTTTGGAAAAATAAAACATCTGGTAGAATCATGAAATCACTCCAATTCTTCAACACAATTTTTAGAAAGTATCAAGCATATTCGTGTTGGCAACGACGAACGGATGAAGTTTTTCTACGTTACAGCTCTATACACCTCAATTGAACCAGAACTAGCTAAGGATACAATGAATCTTCTCCTCAACAATGATACGCGCCTCTCGGAATACACAAAAACCCCAATGTTAAAATTTGATGGAATTAATTGACTTTTTGCCTTACAAGATATTTTCACTTCAACGGCAAACCTACAAATAGACAAATGGAACTATAATGGGATTGCTTACATCAGAACCAATTTCAGAAACAGTAATGTAAAGATTAGTAACTGTAGTATTGCTGTTGATCAAAGCAAAACTTTGAGTCCGATATGTAGATGACACGTTTACAAATTAATCAACAACATTTTCGACGACATCAAATTCACAATTGAAGAGTAATCAAATAAAAAATAAATTTTAGATGTTCTGATCACTGGAATGAATTCGGGGAAATTAGAAAATCAACTATACAGAAAACCAAATCAAACGGATCAAATCCTCAACTACAACAGCAACAACTCAACAGCACACAAAACCAGCTGTATAAAAACATTGTCCAAAAGAGAGAAGATACACTGTAGTACACCGATTTTGGGGAGATTAAAAGAATACTTCATGACTGTTTTCTAGAAGAACGGCTATTCACGCAACTTCATCAAAAGATGTTTACATAATTCACTGTCAACCTAGAAGTTAACCTCGGAATCAACAAACGAATTGTCCTATCCTACATGAAGAATGTTCACGAGATCACGACTAGACTATTGAAGTCATTTAGAATCTCTGCATCCTCATGAGCTCACAAAATCTCTTCACTCTGTGTTATGCAGGCTAAAAGATACAATAGAGAAGGAAGACAAACCAAACACCATCTATAAAATAGACTGCAGAAACTGTGAAAAACATTATGTCGGACAGAGTGGTCGCCCTCTTTGTATTCATCTACATAAACATCAACTAGCATTGAAGCGTCATGACATTTCTTAGCTCATATCAATGCATACGAACAACTGTGGACATGAATTTCATCAGAAAAATGTGAAAATCATGGATAGAAGAAATACAAAGAATGCCGGAGAATTTTTAAAAGCTTGACATTCATGTCAGTCAACAATCAACAGACACACTACACCGATATTGACCAAATCTACCAACCAATAAGAAACAACAAGAGGATCAAATTCCACGTGATGAGAACAACCAATCAGAATAAATATGGAGACACTGACCAGACCTAGACAGAAACAACCAATCACATGCAAGGCCATTAGGACAAGTTCACTTTTTTCTGAAGTTTGTGTTGATGATGTTGTTAGAACGCGAATGAAAGTTCCACGATTAAGCCATCCAGTTCAGAGAACACAACAGCATCAAAATTACCTTCCTGAACTACAAATATTTTCCATCATCTGGAATGGTGACTTGAAATGATGTGTGATCGAAAAGATTCAAGCGGCGAACAAGACATAATTTGTTTATACTTCAACGGAACGCATATTTACACTTCATTAAAAATATAATAATAATAGTAATGATAGTAACTATGCATAATGGATGAGTAAGAATCAGGGTTTTTTCCAGTAGTCATTTGTGTAAAGAAGCAAACTTAACTGATGGGCGAAGACGAGTAGAATGTGAATCAGTTGTTTCGTTTATCCAACAGTGTGATACCCAAAGGATACTCATGTGTACACAGAGCTTTTTAATATACAGTGATTACAAACTAATCAGCAAGCATAAAGCGTTCAACGTGGTTTGCTAGATTTTATGTTAAGAGCAACAGGCGATAGATGATTTCTCTCTCCGTAAGTATGACAGCACAATCTTGAATAGTTTACAACTTCTTCCATATAAAATTCACGAACAAATGATTAAATAAAGCTAACAATCGAAATGTTTCCTTCTACTAGCAGTTAAAATACACATTATAACTGATAAATAGTTTTTATATTGTGATATTCATTCCTTGTGATTATCTACTTATTTTATTGATTTATTTCAGTTCCTTGGGGTTGGTTGACTTTTCTTAATTAGCACAATATATGCCTCTCTAGTCATTGAACATTGAATGAAAGTATAAAGGCAAAAAAAGCCTCAATATACTTGTAATTATATCAGAGTGACTGTAAAAGACACTTTAGCCACTACTGAAATGTTCGGTTAGGTTTAGCTATTTTTTATGAAAAAAACCGCCTTTCCAGTAGAATTGAATATTTCAACAGTCGAAAAGATAGTAGCCTTTAGAGATGCTACTATGTGAATTTGTATATATTTGAATTAATTGGCCAACTAGACAGTAGGATAAGCATATTCTAGTAGGAAATACTCAAGTTATGCAAAAAGCAGTAGATTCTTTTGAAATCAACACTACATTTTTATCTGACAATTGATAAACCTTATGAACTGTTTTTATAACTTGATTAGCACAAACATGCTTCAAGGTGGGAGGACATGCACCTAAATAGCTTCAAAAACAGATGGAGTATCAAACCATTGATAAGTGATGGTGGGAGACGACCCTCTACATTTATAGCTAAAGATATCAAAGAAACAGGTTATAAACAGTTTTCAAAGTTCTATACATACAACAGTTTACGGAAGCGATAGCCATACACAAATTGAAACCACCTTTATGTGTACCTAAAAAAATTTATTCTTACACTACACCTACCTTGATAAACTTTGTTGCCTTACCAAGATTATGATCAACTATATCACTTTTCTTTTTTGTTCTCATCTATCCTAATCTTAATCCCCTATTACCTCGATTGTTATGATTGTACTACTGTAGTGGGTGTTGCTGATAACAATGGATATAAGTAGTATATATTGAGAGGATGGCAGGAATCATAGGGAATTATTAACAATGGGTAAGGTTTCTGCCAGGAGCAACGCAAGAGATACAGCAGGCGTATTACAGTGGTGTACCATATGTAACGATTACCCTTCCAATTTTACACAATGAACATTCTTTTCGTCGTGTTTGTCTTCTGTCTCTTCACTATCATTCTTTGGTTGATTATAAATTGACTTGACAAATAAATCTATGGTCAGCTATCTGTGGTCAAATGAAACTTTCCACTGAGGAATTATTTTAGTCTATTGAAAAATAATAGAAAAGTATACGGTAATCATTTATGCCTACCTCTAAAGCAGCAAGTTGTTTCATATTTCTGAAAAATGTTATGCTTCCAGGTTGATAATTATAATTTGGTACGCCTCTGTAAAACAACATTTGATAATTGATGAAAATGAGTATGCACAGATAATAAACAAATAATAATCACATAGACCTAAAAGTTATTTCTCAATTTACTATTTATTATTATTTGTCCCTTGGGTTCCTAGTGGAACATAGGGATTCAGTAGCACGTCTCCATTCCATTCTCTTCTCTTCAAACTTTTGAACCTGGCTCCACGACACCCCACAACCTCTCATTTCTTCCTCGCACGATCTCTTCCATGTCACCCTCACCTCGGACACCCAACTCATCGCTTCCATCTGGGTTCCACTCGAGCAACTGGCCTAGCGCGTGATGTCCCCAGTCCGTCTTCTCAGTGTATCCATCTCCACTTCCTTCCAGTGCATATTTGTTGAGTGATAGGTTCTTGCTTCGTTGTCAGCCAGCCAGAGTTCCTTGTTGCTTATTCTTTCTGGCAATCCATCTGATCTTCAGTATCACTATTGAGAGTAGGCAGTTGTTGATGAATGTCTGTAGTTTGTTGGAAATGCCTTTTGTAACGCGTCAAGTCTCTCAACCATCATATAGAAGCACTGACTTGACGTTGGTGTTGAAAATCCGGATCTTTTTCTTTATGCTGAGTGCAGAAGATCTCCACATTGGTTTCTCAATACTCATGTATTTTTATTCCTTATGCATTCACTACATGTTTTGGATACCTTTTGAAGATTGTATGAACGCTTATTAGATTTTGCTATTTGAACAAAATTGTCAAGTATTCTGAAACAAGTTGATAAGCATACAGTTGATCAAAAAAGCCTTAACAGTGTATAGAAGTGAAAATCTTTGGATTGGAATCCATACGATATAATAGAGATGGTATATAGTATGGTTTATATTTAAATATCTGCTTTAATCCATCTTTGTTCATCTTAAGCTTTTCTACAATTTTCGATTACATCTCCATTTCTCTGTCTTGTATCCTGATGTGCCAACACAAGGTATTGCAACTTCGACTGTAACGTGATGATATTAACTGAATGATTCAGCAAAGTCGTTAGAAAACAGGTTGCGCTATAGCTATTTAATTGATAAAAATACCAGTAAGATATATGATAGTGTTCAACAAGCAAGATTTTACATAGTCGTTCAGATAGAAGTTATTACCACATAAGCATTATATTTCTATGTTAGTTGGTTGAAAGCAATTGACAGGAAGCTCTACTCGGCTTAGGTTTCGTGCTTGTTAGCAGTCGTTAGTACACCGGTAATGCTGAGCCTCCTTAGCTTGGTGGCCACATTGTAAAAATGATCGGCAGAATTTGGTCAGCACACAGAACAAGACATGAAATTGGTTGCTCTCCAGCGACAAATCAATGTATTATATTTCTATAGTATCTTTGTGTTAGCCATAATTTTTAATGCAAAATATGAAATTCATTGTCAGGTTATACTTATTTCACAGAATGAATACTTAAAAGTGAAAATTACATAGTCTTGAAAAAAAGTTGATAATTTGGATACATTTTCAAAGAATTTCATTTCCAGTATTCCTTTGATGAAAAGTTGTAACAGAAAGAAAATATAGGGAAAGCGTCTAAAAGAGGAACTTCAGTTATTGTGAAGAGAGACTGACAGTTGGGGTTGTTTAAATACTTATCACCCTCATTATGGGGATATCTCTAGAGTATATACATGCTTGATTATGTTTTTCATCTCTAACAATAGCCCAGATCTCTTAATTTTAAGATCAGATCGGAGAATCGGTATACAATGAGTGACTGTAACGGTCAGTAGGTTATTGTTGAGATCAATACTCACTACCCTAGAGATGTTAGACAAAGCTAAGATATGTTCTGAAACTAGTGAGATGTTTTTACTCAATAAACCATTACAAGAAAAACATACGTCATCAATAACCCTTAGGTAGTTGAAATAATAGGTAAACAGCTCAAATCTTGACAACACAAATGTAGACACAACCGACTGATGGATAATCGGTTAGACAAAACACTTGTAACTTCATTATTAAACACTACCAGCTAAAATTTCTCATTTTACAGAGGGTCTTTATTGAAAATTGATCTTCAATGGACACTTTCAGCAAAGTTGGTTCAGTCGACTGTGATAAGGTACACTATTTTATAGATTGATAGGTTTGTGTGAATAATACAAAGAATAAAAAGAAACTACTTATTGTCCAATAAGAATTTCAGAGCTATTCTGCACCGATAACTGATAGGTATGGCATCCAACAGATTCGTACCCCTCCATATTACCCTCAGTCCAACGGTCAAGCTGAATGGTTCGTTGATACTTTCAAAAGAGCCCTCATGAAGGCGAATGGCGGGAGGAGATGATTGATGAAATCTTGGACAGCTTTTCGTTACTTTATTGTACGACACCGAATCCGTTTTGCATCAAATTACTTACCTCCAGCAAAAATTATGTTTGGTCGAAAAGTCAAAATCGTCACCATGAAGCTAAACGTCGAATCCTCGATTTGCATCAGCATATCTACGTGCGTGATTTTCTTTATTCACCTCCAACATGGACTTGTGGGCAGATAGTTGGGCGTAGAGGAAACGTTCTATACAAAGTGAATGTAGAAGGACAGATATGCACCAGACACACGAATCACATACTACTAAGTGAGGCCGACGCAGGCGACAAAAAGAAGCAAAACTTCAAGCTAGAAGTTTTAATAGATCTTTTAATCTTCCGCAGTCCGAAGCATCAAATAGGAACCAATTCATTCTCACTCGAAGATCAGTTCGACAAAGAAGAAGACCAAAAAAATTTCAAATAGATTCTAGAAAGAAGTCTTACAATTTTACGGGGGAGGTGATAGGTAGCGGTAAAAAGACAACCAATAGAGAAATTGTTTTCAGATCATGATCAGATTATGATTTATGCATATACTGATATGATAACCTGATTGGACAAACTCGACGTCATACAACCAATCGGAATGGTTTATTTATGGCTTAATTTTCTGAGAGTTTTGTAAATATATATGTACCATGTATTTGTCTAATGAAATTCATGTTCTTAGAATCAAAGGCCAGTCTTTTGCATTCTGACATCTCCATGGCTCAGTGAAGCAGAAGCAACTGAGCGACGTCAGTCGTAATAGTATTCGGTTGAGGTGTCCATTGAGTCTCAGTATCGTTATACCCATGCCCATAATTCCATTCAGTCACAACAATAAGTCAGAGATCAGTCTGTCTGTTTTCTGGTTCATCAAACTCAGTTTCAGCTGCCATAAGCTCCAGATTTCCCTGGAAATCGGTTCAATTTATCTAAGATTCTATATCTAGCCAAACCTTAATATATTTCTGATTTTTAGATGCATATGTGAATCATTTTAAACAAAAAGGGTCTGGTAAAACTGAAAAAGTAGGTGACTATCTATCCTATCTATCCTATCTATCCTATCTATCCTATCTATCCTATCTATCCTATCTATCCTATCTATCCTATCTATCCTATCTATCCTATCTATCCTATCTATCCTATCTATCCTATCTATCCTATCTATCCTATCTATCCTATCTATCCTATCTATCCTATCTATCCTATCTATCCTATCTATCCTATCTATCCTATCTATCCTATCTATCCTATCTATCCTATCTATCCTATCTATCCTATCTATCCTATCTATCCTATCTATCCTTCTATCCTATCTATCCTATCTATCCTATCTATCCTATCTATCCTATCTATCCTATCTATCCTATCTATCCTATCTATCTATCTATCTATCTATCCTATCTATCCTATCTATCTATCTATCTATCTATCTATCTATCTATCTATCTATCTATCTATCTATCTATCTATCTATCTATCTATCTATCTATCTATCTATCTATCTATCTATCTATCTATCTATCTATCTATCTATCTATCTATCTATCTATCTATCTATCTATCTATCTATCTATCTATCTATCTATCTATCTATCTATCATCTATCTATCTATCTATCTATCTATCTATCTATCTATCTATCTATCTATCTATCTATCTATCTATCTATCTATCTATCTATCTATCTATCTATCTATCTATCTATCTATCTATCTATCTATCTATCTATCTATCTATCTATCTATCTATCTATCTATCTATCTATCTATCTATCTATCTATCTATCTATCTATCTATCTATCTATCTATCTATCTATCTATCTATCTATCTATCTATCTATCTATCTATCTATCTATCTATCTATCTATCTATCTATCTATCTATCTATCTATCTATCTATCTATCTATCTATCTATCTATCTATCTATCTATCTATCTATCTATCTATCTATCTATCTATCTATCTATCTATCTATCTATCTATCTATCTATCTATCTATCTATCTATCTATCTATCTATCTATCTATCTATCTATCTATCTATCTATCTATCTATCTATCTATCTATCTATCTATCTATCTATCTATCTATCTATCTATCTATCTATCTATCTATCTATCTATCTATCTATCTATCTATCTATCTATCTATCTATCTATCTATCTATCTATCTATCTATCTATCTATCTATCTATCTATCTATCTATCTATCTATCTATCTATCTATCTATCTATCTATCTATCTATCTATCTATCTATCTATCTATCTATCTATCTATCTATCTATCTATCTATCTATCTATCTATCTATCTATCTATCTATCTATCTATCTATCTATCTATCTATCTATCTATCTATCTATCTATCTATCTATCTATCTATCTATCTATCTATCTATCTATCTATCTATCTATCTATCTATCTATCTATCTATCTATCTATCTATCTATCTATCTATCTATCTATCTATCTATCTATCTATCTATCTATCTATGTATCCGTAGAGTGAATTTGAAATCAGTAGTTAAAATGATGTAGATTTCAAGTGCGATATACATACCACTTTGGGATTTTTCCTAGTATCCCAAAGTAGTAAACATGATCGATAACCGGGAATATAGATCTGTCGTTCAATGTGTTATACAATATGCACCATGGAAATTGAATATTGGATTCCATTATAAGCTACTGCCTATTCAAATAAAATTGACAGAAAAATTATGGGCTCCGTTTAATCAAAGGGGGTGTATAGAAGGAAACAATTATCAGTTAAATCAATGATAAGAGATTATGGACTAAATTATGAACAACTATACTAATTTAAACAGAATAAAATCTAGTAGTCATAAATTGTCAACTTAAGCCAACTTTCCACAGATATATGATCATTTATCTATGCTTTAAACTTGATTCTTCATTATCATACATACAGACTATGATTTTTCTACTGAAACAGATAGGTAAAAGAAAGTACAATCATCTCCTATGACTCAAGCTATCAAACTCTACAGTTTCACAGAAGAAGGAGATCAAAAGGTATTAAAGTAAATAAGAAGGATACGGAGAAAGTGAAAACGAATAAACGACTAGAAAATGGATACACCTGTGTATCTGTGGTAGGTAGCAATAAAAAACCAGTATTCAATTATGCTATACAATAACCGTGTCGTTGATATAGTTTTAAGTAAAATAGGAGTTTCCAGTTAAAAATTAATAACACGATAGTTGATTGATAAACTGGGGGTGTAAAATGCAGACAACAATCTTACCTTTCACGTGGTTTCAACTGTCCTGGTGACTGATCACTACCTGATTCATTAGTTTTATCTAGTTTACTTTTCCCATCTAATCGATGACCAGCACCACTAAATGCCTAAAATGCATTAAAGAAATAATTAAATTACCTAGATTAGTGATAGTGATAACTTGCTAGTAAGATATCTCAATAAACTAGCCTGCAAACATTATGATCATTGTCATTTACTTGGTTATGGCTAGCACACGAATTCCAGGACGCGCGAGGTCAAACAATTTGATCCAGTAAAACAATGCAGAATTACAAGTATATCAATAAATAGTAATAACTAATACCCATTGTACAAGATGTGGCTATCGTGTCTTAATGGCCTAGTGGATAACGCTTTGGCGTTTGAAGCAATGAGTATGAGGTTCGAGTGGGAACAACACTCACTAGGGTGCAAGTACATCCAGACGATGACTCCCAAATATAGGGAAATTACAAGCATGTCAATAAGCAGTAGTTATTATCACTATTGGTATTGTAATTTACGAACGTACTGACTACAATAAAGTGCAGTTCATTTATCTGGTGCGTACTAGCACTGGATTATGAGCCAAATTTAATGTAACCGCTTATGATACTATACGGTTTCCTAGGGCGATGTATGTGGAGCGTGATATGAAACTGGAACCCGCTGCATGAAAGTTGAATGTTAAAGTCAATGAGGCAAAGCTTCATTAACAGACTGAATACAGTTATGGATCCTTCTGAAACGATAGGAATACTCAGAAATCCATACAAAGAACCGATGGATGTCATTGAATTTAGTTAAATGAATTTTATAACTAGAGCACAACAAATTTCAATAATAACTTATTCCATTACACAATACTCCATTTCAATTTCTAACGATGAAAATTACAAAACGTCATGTTGAAAATAAACATTTTCAGTTGATGGATATATACTAGGCAGGAATAAATCAAGATGGTTTCAGCTTTACTTGAATACAGTGGTTTTTTCATCAGATTAAAGCTAAAAAAAAAATGCGAATACCAATCACAAAAGTGTGCAGATTTCGAAACCATTATTTATTGCTTAAATCTTCTTCTGATGTACATAATTGATATTGAAAGCATTAAGTAATATATGCAATTCAATAACAGTTATGGGTTAGCTATTTTAGCTCCTGTAGATCAGCTTCGTTTGAAAGATGTGACCCGATTGATTGAAAGTCGAATGCATAAATAAATGAACAACAATTTTTCTCTTAGATACATTATACCAGTATGATAATTTATAAGTTTAAAGGTGGAGTTATGGTTTATTGGTCTAGGGAGATGACTTTCAACCATTGGATCACGGGTTCCGAGCAGCCATGTAGTATCATTTAGCCCTTACACAATAGGTATGGCCTATTGTCTACAGCACCAATGTACGCAAGGCTACTGAGTACATTCATTCTTGATGAGACATCAAGAAAGGGATATTAAAGTAGTGATTCAATCGAAACATATTTCTTTTTTATTTCTGAGGTTCTTAATAATATTGCAGTTATATACACTATTGTAGGTTCGCATTGTCTATTATATAGTTTAACAAAGAAAAAAAAAATTAAACGGAGCATCTTTAATTATGAAACAAACAACCAGAATATCTCAATGAACAGATGAAATTTGGTACTTTTAGGCAACATTCAGTATTCTCAGAGGATTTTTCGTATGGGAAAACTATGAAAACCAAAATCGATTGAGTGGAACCATTGTTACATAGACCAAGTTACAACATGCATTCATGTATACTGACAGATTCAATAGAAGTAGGCTGAATCGGTTATTCATAGTCAATGACAGATCTATACTCAGTCGAATTTTCACGGGTTCATTAGATTCAAAGAATTACTAGCTGGAGATACCGTATTATATAATTCAACATTGATCAGATCATCATGGATTTATTTTCTACCTTTCTGAATAATATATTTCTCTAAACTTATTAATTTCTTGTATAGTCATGTGGTCTGAGTTCATTTGGATATTTAACGCTCATTCTAAACATCAGTTTCTGTTAATGAGATAAGCTAGAGGGAAAGAAATGATGAGGAGAGCTAAGGAATTGCCACAAATCTTCATACGATAACCATTATCTTCTTTATGATGACCAAACTATGTAAGGAATCAAGAGGTTAAGCAACATAAATTATGTATACAACAAAGTTCTTCATTCAACAAGTGAAGCTATCCAGAAACACTAGCTTCTGAGTATGCTCAGTGTGACGTCCTATAGCTTCAATGTCGTTTAACATTTGTTATCTCCGGGAATGGTGAGAAGAAGCGAAGCTATAATTAGTCTATGATATGGTGCGATGGAAAAAGGACAGTTATATCGAGTTAGCGCAACTGCTGGAGCCCGATAAAAGTCAAAAAACTCAGTGATTCAAAACATCATTAGATATAGTTCAGAATTAAAAGTAATTAAGATTATGCTGTTTTAATTCCTCCACGTTTTCTAGTATCGAGAAAATATAACTGATAAATGCTTGTTCAAATACGTTTTGGAGAACTGTTTCTTTGCTTGTTATGCTATTCATCGCTTATCCATTTTTTCCTTCTCTGTCTGAAGCATATTTTTTGTGATAAGTTTGTTTTGAGTAGAAATAGAGCACACACACACACATACACACAAAACAAACAATATAGGTACACAAAATCGGTTGATGTTACAGTAGTTATAAGATTTGAAAGCGGTTAAGTAAATTCGAAAACATAATTCCATAGGAGAATTAATAGAGAATATGAGTTGAGTTACCTGAAAGCCTTGAACAGTTGACGGGATTTCTATAGGATCTTCTTCAATCTAAAAGCACATTTCATGTGAATAAGTAGTGTAATATGATATTGGGTAAAGTTATACAAATAGGATATGACTGGTGAAAGCGAACCTCAGTTATGTGTCGAAAGTACCTGAAAATTTTAAACATTTATAATACATACAAAGGGAGGGGAATGTTACTGAAATTCCAGTTTCTACATAACTGATATGCACAACTATTGTAAGTGTCTGCTTACTGTAATATGATTTCTTCTTCATAATGACGGTATCAAGCAGACAGATATAAACAATGACATGATGTCGTCTAGCAAGATGATGAAACCTCCACAACTAAACAACCCAGCTCATAGAACACAATACAACCAAGATATAAACGACATAAAAACTATTGTTGTTGTCAAAATTCCTATCATCATCATGAGGAGTCAACAAGATAGAGGACAAGAAATGAAAATAATACTATAACCAGTTGTAAAAAGGTAACAATAAGAAAAGATAATAGGATGAAGATGCATAACAGTTACATTTCCGAGTTTGAGATGATAAGATGCGGATGCATCTACACTACTAGGGACTAAAACTTACCAATGAGACAGAAGATCTGAGATAAGAAACCAGACGAACTAAGGATACCTTAGTCATCAGTTGTCACTCCCCCAATCAGTCGATAAATCCTTTGGTAACTGTAAGAAATATATGACTAGTATCGGTAACAAAGGTGTTAGTAACCACAGTAAGTAGTAGTAGTAGTAGCGACACTGTGAAAGGGACTTAGAAACCTCTGGTATTTTAGACTGAAGAAACTTCAGACTTTACGTAGGATCCGTCAATCAGGCTCTGATTTTAATACTGTAGACACCCAAACCTATAAATTTACTTAGGAACAAGCATTTTAGGTTAACATATCCTATTGATGTAATTAGGTGAAGTAATTTAGTTTACTAAATGTACTGCAATGACTTTGACGTTAAATACGTAGGTCAGAGTAGTCGATTGGGATCAGTCAGGATGTCTAAGCACAAAAGTTTAGCTAAATCAGGATTGGTAGACCTCCCTTTTTAGAGAAAAGCTCGACAATAGCTATGCATACATTTATCACGACCATATAATAGGATGAAACAGTGACAATCCTTAAAACTAACTTGGTGAGGTGGAGGAAAAGATTGGTAACTGAATATTTGCTTATAGAATCAACAACAAATACGTGCGACAGGAGTGACTCAGTAACTGTTCCAGATGTGTAGAAAATTCTATGTGTATTACAAAGTTCAAGTAATACCTAAGGATTTTTCAAGCACACACACTACAGTATCCATCAACGATAGGTAAACGAAAACACAATGCAAAGTATACCAGCACAGCATAAGCGATTTCAACCCCCCCCCCTTTACAAGTGTAACCGTTGTATTCAAACTCAATTTATACAACCGCATGCATTACCCTAGTCATCATCATGATGTGACTTCTAGTACTGCTCTTACCTCTCTTATTCTATTATTACGCCTTTGCTTTCCTATTCTTACATAATTATTTCCTGTTTATGACTGCCAACCCGAAGAAAACACCACTTACAGTACCAGTTATCATGCAGCTTGCCAAAGAATAACCTGTTCCACATTATTTTAATTACTATTTTTACCTCCTAAAAATTACTCTGTTGATTATTTGCATCTTGATCTTTCAGAATTATCGTCTTTATTACTTATTTAAAATCCATAAATACCGTTGACCGACCCGTCACCAACTGATTGGTTTTTAGATATTAATTTCAAACTTATGCTTTTGCGTAGAGACAAGGATGAAGACCTAATTGAAAAGGAATATATTTCTTCGCTCAATTTGGCTCTTTTTGAATATGTAAATGAGGATTTCAATGTGAGATTCAGGTTTGAAGAAAGCTCATTTTGGTTGGATATAAATGGCACTAATGACAGGCTAAGACTCAGGATGAATTAATATTTTATCTCTAACAAAATCCTGAATATGCAACTACTCATTAATTTGCTTTTTTTGCGCTACAGTTATTTTTGGATAAGTCAAGTTAACTGGATGTACATTTTAAGGGCAAAATAATGATCAGTTTAGGAAAAAGGAAAAAAACAGTATAACTTTTAATGCAATACAGATCATCAATTCACAAAATGAATTCCCACTAGATGAAGCATACACTTGTTTGTACAGCACTTAATATTATGCCTCCTTTCTTTGAATAATATGTCTGTTAGCATGGTTGACAGCTAACTGATTATTGTCATATCTGGAAAATTTGCATCCAATCGGTTTGATTTAGTCATAATACTGGTCTTTTCTAGTTAAAGATGTTCGCTCAACACAGTATCTGTAGGATTGCTAACATCCAGTGGAAATAACACGTGACTGTGTTTGGGCGCAATGGAATTAGTTCTACATAAAACACTAACTTAACACCGGCATAAAAAATGAGGTATGTGTAATAATATGGCAACATTAAGAAGAACTAATTCTTATAGATGGTCATTTGGTGAGTAAAGTTAATCTGAGACACCAACTTCCATGGCTACGTATGCCATCCAAGTTGCTTCCATATCGTTTACTGTTTGCAAGCCCCAGCATTGGTGAGAAGTGGTGATTAGTGAATAATGTAGTGCAATGGGGTGATAGTTTGGTGAGTTAGCATCTGATGGTGTCTCATAACTCCTTGAGTGGGCTTCAGGATAACATGTAACTCAGAGGCCTGAGAAGATATCAGATGTGAATCACAGTCTAAATTAGTGGTGACCATCCTGGAGCTATCTCTTTTTTCTTATCGAAAAAATATACCAAAATGCTTCTTCAATGCACTTTTGTGACCGCTTCTCAAACAACCCATTTATTTTTGCTTCTGTTCTTTTTCCTGGTTCCCTGTTTACTTCACTTGTATTTTCTCTCGATGTTGATATATAATCCTATGCGGCACATTTTCTGGTGTTCATCTTGTACGAAGTTGTTGTTTAAAAAGAACTTCTGGTCATCCAGAAAATGATTTGACAATAAAAGCTACGAACTGCCTCTTATCTCGGATACTGATATGAAGCAATACTTATACGTAATACCTATGGGTTCTCCAAGTTCTCACAACTGAAGAGAAGTTTGATTAGTATACAATACGTCAGAAACGACAATTATTCCATAGTTGAATGCGTTTTAGCCGTGGAAAGAAAACAGCAAATGAGATCGGGGAGTAAGAGAGAGGTAGAGGATATGTCGGTCAGGTCTTAACCTCGTCAAGTGAAAGATTAACATGAATCTCATTTACTTTCCTTGGTAGTAATTTCCTGTTAGTTTTAGAGTCCAACTATCAAGAAAGTATGGTTCCTTGAATGTAATAGAAGCTTAAGTTTTTGAATGTCTTGAGTGAAGACGAAAGTACTTGTTATACCTGATATACGTAAGAAACAATAATGGTGGTTAAGACAAGGTTTAAAATAACATCCAATACCAAGTAAAAAGCAGGAAAACATGAACTGTACTATTTATGATGATGGTCTTATTTCTGGTTGTTTGGATGCAATCGACAGGAAGTCCAGAACCTATGTTTCGTGCTTATTACTACTCATTAGCGAGCCGCATCTGCTAACTTGAGGGAAATGATATTTGCTCGGAGACTCAAACCCACGCCACCTAGTGCTGCAGTTGGAAATTTTACCATTGAGCTATCCAAACTATGCCTGCCTTCAATCAGCCAACATCTACCAAAGTGCATCTAGATAGTGAATCTACTAGCTTGGTGACCACATTGCAGAATTATGAATAACATTCGGTCAGCAAGTAGAAGTGGAAAGCACGAAGTTGGTTACTCTCTAGTGACTAGCTAATGGTAGTCTTCTTATTCTTAGGTTCATTAATAATGAAATCTCAATAGATGTACAGGCTTGATTGACACCAATCGAATTTGACTGCTTAAACACCCAAGATCTTGGTTCTGTACCAAGGGTTGAACACATGTGTACTTCTCTATAAACGTATACTAGCATGTCAACAGGGTTATTAGTGCTTTTGTATCATTGCTCATGTAATGGTACAATAAGTAAGCAAAGTGAATGCTGGATATTAGCTTAAGTGACATGAACTACTCGATGAGGTTCCTGACATTCATCATTTGAGACAGATCATATTTCCCAAGCAGGTCGTTTAGCGACTGTAAAAACTTTGAACCTAGAACATTAATAAATGCATAACGTTCCCCTCGTCTGGTAGTTTGTAGCACATATCTACTCGAAATATTATGAGAATAATCCAGTAGATTACAAGTTAAGTATTAAACCACATCCCAACATATTCAAATACTATAAATTATGATTAGTGACAAAGTGGGAACCATGTCTAGTCTATTAACATTCAACATATTACCAAGCCGCTAGTTGTAAAACTAAGCTACGAAAAAAAATCAACAAAAAACAAGTTTGTACCTTCTGGGCACATTTATGTCCTTGAGTATGCATAGAACCAGAATCAGTGGGTTGATATCCTACTGGAGATGCAAAGTCAACCTGAAAAAATTAATATCATTTTAAGTTCATTACACTCATATCACACTCGATTATCGTGACTGCATCCTTTGGTTTAGTTTCCAGAACTTTAAGCTCATATATACGCTCATTGTAGTTAATCGCGATAACATCACCAACTGTAAGACAGGCGAAATCTCGAAGAGCATTTTCAAGCCTAAAAGCCAATATCATCAAAAACAAAAAATTACACAGCTTTGGGGTTGGAAATGTCGAGAAAATCGGTACTCTGAGGTTGAAACCGTGCGAAAGAAGCAACCGGTAAAGCTGCACTTACAACAGACACCAGCCCACCCTCCTCTAGATGTAGATTTTTAAGCATCTGAAGTGAACTGGGAATATCAAAATCCTACCCAGTAAGGTACATAGATTCTTCCTTCATCTGCGACAAATTCTAGTACACCACAATGAGTAGTACGGTTATTCTGTTGATTCGTCAGTTTGAAAAGCATAGGATATTGAACATTTAGGCGAGCTTAAGAATTTAGATACATCTGAAACTTACTCAATATATCTAAAGCAGATGGAGGCATGATAACTGAAAAGAAAACAATGTATACACGACACCTTACTTTTGCCACCTTTTTCCACACTAGAACGAAAGTTATCTGCCAGAAAAGAAACTGGGTAACATCTGTAAGAGGATTTGAATGGATAGGAACTATCTACACGATGAAACTGGATGAAGAAATAACATTCTACACAAAACTCACGAAAACCATTCTGTCGTAGCGTCAAGGTCGTATAACGTACTCTTCCAATCCAATATCCAATGTCTTTTTACGAGCTAATGTAAACCATTTGATTTCTTCGCGCTCGCTTCTAGGTCTTGTGGAAAGGTTTCAGGTCTCTGGTGGATTCCAATGCAGTAGGCCTACCCACTCGGCTGCTGTAGCTTTGGTTAGTCCGACGGGCGGTTGGGTGTTGACCAAATTTGTAGGGTGTTGTTTGTTTGTTTTGCTTTTTCTTCCGAGGACTGTGATGCAGATGGGTTCTGCAAGTATAGTGCCAGCAGACAATTGGTCAGACTGGTTGTAAAAAGGAGATGAAAAATATGTGCAAAGAAATCAGGGGAGAGAAAGTGCGGAGAAAGACAAAATAGAAAAAGGAAAAAAGGAAGAAAAAGGATTGGGAAAGAGGAAACGGCACGGAAGAGAGACATTGGTAGGTTTATGCGGGATAGGTGATAGGGAAAGCCTTTGCTAAGGTTTGAGAGTGTAAAGTTAGAAGGAAGAATAATAAATAACATGACAGGACGAGTGGAAGTACAGTAAATCTTTTTGTAGGAGACGGTAACTGAAGGGGGCGTCTACAGGAAGATATAAGGTTGAGCCAAGTTCCCAGCAATAGTGGTTTTACAGAGTGTTCAGCAATGGTACCGAGTTAGTAGGTCGTGTCAACCTTTGCCCACACCCCAGTTGGATAGGCGCAAACCGTGCGTCGCTGTTTAACTGTGTAGCGTCACACACTTCCCCAAAATCAATAGCCTAGGGTTTGACGACTTTCGACATTGATGCTGACCTTGATAGTTTAACTGGACTCGCTAAGCTGAAGGCACCCGGTCAAGCATCCTCGCCATTTGGCACGCTGTCGTGTTACGTTGCATTGCTCGTATTCGACTCTCTAGCCAGTTAGTTGGAACGCATCGGTATTTTGGCATAACCATCCAAATATACTATTCCATCCGACTACGCTATCGTGTTCTTCCTTGGTCCCGTATTCGTGGGTATATAACAAGTTCGAATAATTAGTGATTGGTCTTTGCGTCTGTCAAGTTCGCACCAGGACAAATCCTAAATTGGTGAGCCCGACGTGATCACATATCCCGACCAATAACAAGTATTGAATTGGTGAGCCTGTTCCATTTTATATTTGTATATTGTCTTCATTTCGATAACATTTATATATCCATTTACTACACTTTCTCATGTCCGACCCCACTCCCAAGCCTATTTGTATTAAGCCGACTTCGAACACGATCCAACTCGTGCCATATTGGCCAGACAATGCAGAAACATGATTTCTGTATGCCGAGGCAGATTTTAGAGAACAGGGCGTCTCAGATCCTGCTGTCATACGGTCACCACGGCGGGAATTAAACAGGTATGTTACAGCACACATGTTTAATCCTGAAGTAAGTGACCCTTATGCACTTCTAAAGGCCGCACTCTTGAAGAAAAGCGATCTCACAGATCGCCAACGTCTAGACGAATTGCTTCGTAACATCGAGCTAGGCAGCCACTCAGCTACTGAAGTCCTCGCACGCATGCGAGAAGTAATCGGTGCACGAACATTTGACGATGGTTTCTTCCGAGAACTATTTCTCTCGAAACTACCACAACCGGTGCAAACCGTGTTGGTGACACTCCAGTCAGTCCCACTCGACGACCTGGCAGCCTCAGCAGATAAAATACTGGAGATATCCAGCAGACCCGTCTCCAACGTATATTCTATCTGACAAACCAGAGCGCCAGGATTCAGAGGTGACCAAGTTGTGCAACTCTGTGAAACGGTTGCTACGATCTCGAAGTCCTAGATCACGTAGCACTTCACAGAAACGCACCTTGGCGCATCGCAGCAAGTCGCGTGGTAGCCCTAAAACGAAACCCAACAGGGTGGAAAACCCTGAATGGTGCTGGTTTCATAACACTTACGGGGATGAAGCCAGAAAATGTCGTAAACCATGCCGTTTTAAGAAGGACCAAACTCGGGAAACGGTCACGCCGGCACGTGCTCACGGCAACCGTAGCCGGCGGAAAAAGCCGTTTGCTCTACGTCACCGACATTAAAACGAAAGTCCGCTACCTCGTCGACACCGGCGCAGAAGTTAGCGTTCTTCCAGCAACGACAAAGGAGCGTCATCTCGACCCATCCTTCAATCTTCAAGCAGCCAACGGCAAGGCAATCGCGACATTCGGGAGACGGTATGCCTACCTCAACTTAGGTTTACGCAAACCTATTCACTGGATTTTCCTCCTGGCAGACGTCTCTATGCCCATCATTGGCATAGATTTGCTGAACCATTACGATCTACTCGTAGATGCTCGCCGTCGACGACTGATAGATAACAACACAAAGTTATCTATTGGCGGCACCACCTATGTAGGTCCGAGTTTAGCCATCGTTAGGACTAAACAATCAGGCGACGCGTCCTACCAGGCAGTTCTGGAGAAATATCCAGAGTTACAACAACCGAAACACACTCTTCCGTGCATAACCAGCAATGTTATGCATCACGTCACAACCACAGGTCCACCTGTGGCATCCAAAGCGCGCCGTTTAGCCCCCGATAAGCTGCAAACGGCGAAAAATGAATTCGACCATATGCTCGAACTGGGCATTATCAGACCGTCAAACAGTCCTTGGGCATCGCCATTGCACATGGTGCCCAAAAAGGATAGCAACGACTGGCGTCCGACCGGTGATTACCGAAGGCTTAACGCCAAAACAACTCCGGACTGCTACCCTATACCCACGTTTACGACTTGACCGCAACCTTATGCGGCATGAACATTTTCTCGAAAATCGACTTGGTCAAAGCGTACAACCAGATACCTATGGCAGCAGAAGATATCGCGAAAACAGCCATTATTACTCCTTTTGGCCTGTTTGAATTCCTGCGCATGCCTTTTGGTCTTCGGAATGCAGCACAAACATTCCAACGCTTTATGGACGACGTCTTCCGTGGTCTGAATTTTGTTCATGTCTACATCGATGACTGTCTAATTGCGAGTCCAGATAAGGAAACACACCTTAAACATTTGGACCTCGCATTCGAAAGACTCAAAAAACATGGCATCACAGTTAACTTACAGAAGTGTGAAATAGGAGTTGAATCACTCAGCTTCCTTGGGCATACCATTGACAACAAAGGTATACGCCCATTGAGAGATAAAGTGGCGGCTATCACAAACTATCCAGAGCCGACCACTGTGAAACATCTCCGCACTTTCAATGGCCTGGTAAGTTATTACCGAAGGTTTATCCCTAACTGTGCCTCTGTCATGAGACCACTCACAGATCTACTTCGAGGAACTGCGAAGTTCGTGTCTCTGGACAACGCGGCTAGACTTGCTTTCTCTAAAGTCAAGGAAGCCATTTCGAACGCAACCATGCTTATGCATCATGACCCCAATGCTCCTCTGAGTATTGCTGTTGATGCATCTGATTCAGCAATTGGAGCAGTTTTGCAACAGTTGACTGACAACCAGTGGCAACCGTTAGCCTTTTTCTCGAGGCGGCTGCAAGACGCGGAAACAAGATACAGTACATTTGGTAGGGAACTCCTAGCCATGTACTGTTCTGTACGCCATTTTCGACATTCTGTGGAAGGTCGTGATTTCATTATTTTCACAGACCACAAACCGTTAACGTTTTCCCTCAGCTCGGCGTCTGACAAATACTCCCCTCGTGAGTCGCGACAGCTGGATTACATTTCCCAGTTCACGTCAGACATCCGCCACATTTCTGGAGCAAACAACTCCGCAGCCGACGCACTATCTCGAATAGCTTCGATAAATCATATGGAGGGCGTTGATCTCGTTGAAGTAGCTTGGCGTCAAAAGGAAGACCTCTTCTTGAAGTTGTCAACAGACGGAGCAGTAGCAATATCCAATACATCAGTTTTGAGTTATAAGGATAGTAGGCCAGTTCACCTGTGTTAATCCTTGCAGAAGAAATCTCCGTGAAAATCTAGTTTCTCTTTGAACGCGTTGACAGTTCTTGACACCGCTTGCTGAGATGAGTTCCAGCTGTTGATTACACGATGCGAGAAAAGCAGATTCAGGCCAAGTTGATTCGATCGCGGTTCTGGAATTTTCTTATGATATCCACGTGGGTAGCAAATCCCAGCAGGGGGTAAAAGATACGACACACCAGTATCGAAGTAATTATTAAGGATACAAAATGTCAGTATGAGATCACCCGGTTTCGTACGGTAACACAGTGGGAATAAGTTAAGCTGATCTAGTCGTTCCTCATAGTGCAGACTCGAAAACCTGCCACCAGCTTAGTGCCTACCCAGCAGTACCTAAAACGATCTTTGAAATCCTCCTCTCATCGGTTTTTCACCCTTTTTCTTACCTAACCTGACTACTCTAGGCTTTTCAGGTAGAATGCGTTTAATGGCCAACTCGACTAGCTTCGGGTCATGGGCATGACGTATTGAATTATGTTTGTCCAATGACTCCTCAACATTCGAGAAAATCGAGGGGGGCATTGGTGTAGACTCCTTGAGTGGCGTGTTGACGGCCTTCGAAACCTTCCTAACAAGCTTCATAAGCTTGGTAACTTCAGTGACAACCTCTGAAGGCCTCTTTGAACCTTTCCTCGAGAAATCCATGCAGATTCGTTGGCCACCTTTATAGGGTCAACGCCGTTAGAGAAGACGTCTTTTAGTGGATCCCCTGACATCGTAGTTGGTGTAACGATAGCTCTTGGCATTCTCTTGCGTCCAGTACGTGTTGGAACTGGTGTAATCTCACCAGTTAGATCGCTGGCATTCAATGATCCATAGTGGGATCCTACGTCAGACGTATTAATAACAACACCTGCAGCGTCATCATCTGATAGCTCATTGCAGTGGCAGTTATCATTTCCACATGGCTGTTTTTTGACGAGTGACATTTCGACAGTTTCCAGGATTTGGGCTGACAATGGCTTAAAGCAGAAATCAAATAACCAAGGAGTAGCTGGTTTGCTGCGGCGCTTCCACACGGCTGGTATCAATCCGGTACAAACTTCGTGGAACCAACGTCCACCACATTGCGTACCTT